TACCTGGGTCTGTGCACACAAACTTACGTGGCCGCTTCAGTGTAACAGGTGGCTTTGATTTCTCTGCTAGCACAGTGGAGCTCCTCGTTTTTGCCTAGTCAAGACTCTCTTCAGGTCTTTCCCACACCAAAGGGGATCTCAGGACACCAACCTAGGGACCACCAGAAAGTGGTGAGGCGCCTGCCCCAGAAGGGGGTCAAGAGAAACCCTTAAGGAAAGGGCTAAATCCCAGGAAAAGCCCCCCAAAACTGTGTGGGAGAGAGATCACCTACCCAAATTAAAAACCAGAGTCTTGACAAAAGTTTGCAAAAAGGAGGAATCTCTTTATTGACTTTCTCGAGAAAGGGCACCCCCATGCTGCCTAAGCTGCCCCAAGAGTTCAAGTGCTTTTTGTTTAAGGCAAGATTATATAGACCCTAATGCAGCAGCCCACCCTACCCCACTTCCCGTCGGCTCATTGGCTGAGCCTCAGGTGTACAATCTATTCGTGTAAAAACTACCCCAGTAAGAGAGAGAACAAAGAGGTATAGAAATTATGTTAGCATGTTCCCCTTTTCAGGGCCTCGCAGTTTCAGCAGCCTTTTACCCAAGGTCATATAACTAGCTAGAGGATGAGATAGACAGGATGCTCTTATGGCTCAGGAATTTCTGCTAACCCTAACTAAGAGTAGGGGAGGGAGAAGGCTAGGGGAGAGGGTCTTGTATTCTGAGGGTTCTTAACTTAGTGGTGGTACACATGTACCACTCAAAAGCAACAATACCAGATCCATTAACAAGAACTAATGACCCTTTGAGGAGGCTTCACTTCTGAGAGATCATCTCTCACAATAACCTTCCACACAAACTAAAAGATGGGACATTTTTCCAAAACATACATGTTCCTAAAAATACCGGACTATGCAAAATTGCACAATTTAAAACCTAATAGAGCTTATGGGGAAAATAGGGTTTAGGGCACAATCACTTCTAGCCACAGACATTTCTTTTATTTTCACATCATTGTCTCTGATAGTCTACAATGTGGATTCCTTTACATCTGTTGTTCAGAAGATAATCATATGATCTCTTGTTTCCTTCAAAATGCTTTATTGGGGCAGCTAGGTGACGCAATGGATAAAGCACAGGCTCTGGAGTCAGGAGGACCTGAGTTCAAATCCAGCCTCAGACACTTACTAGCTGTGTGACCCTAGGCAAGTCTCTTAACCCCAACTGCCTCCAAAACAAACAAAATGCTTTATTAATTCACACTTTTCCTCAATGCTTCAAGCTTTGATCACCCTCTAGCCTGGATATGGGGGGGAAGGAAAGGTGGAGTGAAAGACAGTGAGGAATCCAGGATGATTCCTAAATTGCAAGCCTGCAATACCAGGAGGATGGTGTTGCCCACTGCAATAATAGGGAAGGTAGAAGGAGAAAAAGGCTTTAGGAGGGAAGTTTGTTTGTTTTGAATGCACTGAGTTTAAGATGTCTACTGGATATCCAGTTCAAGGCAGTTGGAGATGTGAGATGTGAGATTGGAGATCAGCAGAAAAATTGGGGCAGCAAAGGTAGATGAGAATTATCAGTATAGAGATGGTAATTAAATCCATGGGAAATGATGAGATCACCACGTGAAGTAGTATACAGAGATAAAAGAAGAGGGTCCTGGATACAACCCTGAGGGACACCCATGGTTAGAGGCCATGATCTGTAGGAGAATCCAGCAAAAGAGACTAAAAAGGAGGGGTCGCAGAGGTAGGTAGGAGGACCAGGAGAGAGCGGTGTCCTGAAAACCTAGAGAAAAGAGAGTATTGAGGAGAAAAAAGTGAGCAACAGTGTCAAAGGCTACAGAGAGATCAAGGAGAATGAGGATTCAGAAACTAAGAGAGCATTGGCAACTTTGGAAAGAGCAGTTTTGGTGGAATGATAAAGTCAGAAGCCAGATTGTAATGGGTTTAAGAAGGGAGGGAGAAGAAAGAAAGTGGAGACACTTACTGTAGACAGCCTTTTTGAAGAGTTTAGTTACAAAGGGTAGAAGAGATACAGGGCCGTAGTGAACTGAGGTGAAAGGATCAAGTGAGGGTTTTTTCAGGATGGAGGAGACTTGAGTATATTTATAGGCAGTAGGAAATGAGCCAATAGAGAGGGAGGAATAAGTGAGAAGGTGGGGATAACAGAAAGGGCAGTGTCCTGGAGGAGATGGCATGGAATGAGATTGCTTGAACAAATAGAGGGGTTAGCATTGGTAAGGAGTAAAGTCACTTCATCATGAAGCCAGAGGTCAAGAGAGAGAGTGGCAGAAGGCACCTGAATGATAGGAGATGAGGAAGAGGGGAAAAGGAGTTCACAGCAAATGACCTCCACTTTTTCTGTAAAATGGGAGGGAAGGTTCTCAGCTGAGAGAATGGAGGGCGGAAGAGCCGTGGGAGTTTTGAAGAGGGATGAAAAGGTAGCCCATAGAAAATGCTTTTCGATAAGAGCCTATGCTCTATAATCTCAAGCTGACTAGGGAAACTCATCGAATTGATCAGTTGATTACCTCCTCAATCACCCTTTCATAAATGTCCTCTCTAGTGGGGGCCATCTCCAGTCATCTTGATCTGTATATTGCCACTGGACCCAGATGGCTCTGGAGGAGAAAGTGAGGCTGGTGACTTTGTACAGCCCTACCTCAGTGTAATCCAATTCACTTGCAAGTCATGACATCACCTTCCTGATGTCATGGTCCTCCTCAAGAATGAAGGACAAACAAAAACAACTGTCTAGTGATATTTGGGCAGGTAATGATCGCACCAGGGTACACTACATGGTCTATAAATACCTTCTACATTCTCAAGAAGCATTGGCTTGATGTTATATAGAACATGTTACATAGAACATATCATCATATATCCTAATTGTTTGACAAATTACAGCAAATATAGTGACTCTTATTCAGTTCATCTTATTTCCCAAACATTCTGGATACAAGAAACTTTGTCACATGTTTTAAATGTCAAATATTCAAGGACCACAGCTCTGATTTCTCTCTTGAACATTTTCCCACCTTCAGAGTACTTCAACTAAGGTAGTCATAAGCCCTAACTGAATTAGGCTCAAGATTTTTTGTGGACATGTTGTAGCTACATCTAACCAACTCAATAATCAGACAAATGGACAAAACAGATTGAATGATTATCAAATTTAATAATAAAACCTAATAATTTCTGTTTACCTAGGCTCTCTTTTAGAGATGTCCTAAATTGGCTAAAAATAATTATTACTCATTATGTGTATAGGTGGGCATTCCAGTTGTATAATATTGCTTGGATTATAAATTAATTCACTGGTGGGGTTTTTTAGGCTAACAGTCATTCAGTCTAGCTGACCTTTATCATCTCCCTCCCCCTCCAAATTCTTTTCAAAATATTGTATAACTTGTTAAATTAATTAAGTAAAGGTCAGGTACATCTAGACCTATTTACTTGGTAAGAAAGGTACAATTCATTCACGTAACATCCATAAAGAGTACAAGAAGGCCAGTGTCACTGGGATACAGAACACATGGGGCTATGGGGGTTTGAGTGGTGAAAGGTGAAAAGTGAAAAGTGTAGGAAGAGTGGAAAGGCAGTGCCAGTGACAGACATTTCTTGCCTGAGGACAATTCTAGCTAAGGATCATTATCGGTAGATTGGCTATTAGATAACAAATCAATAAGCATTTATAAAGCATTTACTATGTGCTAAGCACTGAGGATACAAAGGAATAAATTAAACAGTGCCTGTCCTCAAGGAGCTTATATTCTATAGGAGGAAACAAAATGTACACATAGGGAAGAGTGGGGTTAAAAACACTTTATCTGGCTAAGATGACTTGACCAGGTGAGAGCACTTTTTGATTGAATCAAATGATCAGACCAAGTGCGACAGGGCCTGTATACCAACTTGAATCAATCAAAGCCATTTTGTGAACCGATGGGGCATGCCATAATGAATTTGTATAAAAGGGGAGAAGTTATTTCAGAATTGAGGGAGAAAAGAGATTCTAGGTGTCTGAATTCAAGAAGTGGAACAAAGGGAGGACTGAGCAACAGCAGAGAAGGGAAATATGGAAGAGAGTCATTAGCATTACAGGTATCTCAGAGAAGAGAAGCCAGGTTGAAGAAAGTCCCAAGACAAGATCAACTCTTTCCCTAACCTCTCCCAATGCCTGTCTATCCACAGACACTATAATATAACCTGCCATTCCATTACCTACGTGTGAACAGTAAAATGAATTTTGCCGGAGGTCAGAGGTTAACTATCAATACATATAAATATAAGGTTAGGCAGAAAGCCTAACCTCTGCCTAGGTTTTAGGAATTTTCCTGACTAGAGACTCAGAGTAACTGGAATTTGGAACTTTTTCTCTAAAATCAATACCTAAGAAGTATTGAAGAGGAGGGAACTAAGTGGATCTTAGGGCCCACTTTATTATATTATATTATTTTAACAGTATAATATACATATAAATATACACATAATAATTGGAGGGGAGAAGACACTAAAAACTGGAGAGTTTCAAAAAGGCCTCTTGTAAAAGGTGATATTTGATCTCAGCTTTGAAGGAAGCCAAGAGGTTGGAGATGTAAAGAAAGCACACTCTAGGAATGGGAACCAAATTGGGCAAAGGCAGAGAAATGGTGGATGAAGTATGCTGTGTTAGGAAAAGCAACAAGGCCAAGCTGGCTGGATTGTAGAATTCGTGAAAGGAAATACTGTATAATAAATTGAGAACTTTAAATGCCAAACAAAGGTGTTTGTATTTGACATTAGAGGTAAGAAGGAGCCAGTGGAATTTATTGATTAAGGGGGGGTAACATGGCCAGAGTTGTGCTTCTAGATAACAACTTTGGCACCTATGTCAAAGATGAATGGAGAAAGAAGAAACTTGAGGTTGGGAACCCAATTTGAAGGCTATTACAATAATCCAAAAACAAAAGGTGATGACGTTTGTTGTTCAGCAAATGTTCTATCTCTTTGCCAGTGTGGAAGGACGTGGCTGCCATGTGTAATACACTGATTGTTGTCAAATGAGAAAAAATTGGATGCGTTATGTTCACCAAAGGTGTTCTCCGCCGTCATGCAGGATCATCTGCATAACATTTAGATAAAGAGAGAGTTCTCATGGATGGTAAGGTCCTCCATACACTGTTGGTTAATGACATTGTGTTGATTATATCAAGACCCTGGCAGAGCCTCTTCAATGAGATTCATGAACTTAAAAGAGATCAGCTTAATATGAAAAAACTAAATGGATAAAATGTGTATTGTCCAAACTAGGGGTGGGGAGCCCTGCAGCACATCTTTGTTCTATGAAGTTCGGATTCAGTCAAAGGGCTGTACTTGAGGACCTAGAAGGCCACACGTGGCCTTGAGGCTGCAGGTTCCTCGCCCCTCATTCAAACTATGACATGTGGTTGAATATGAAGTCCATGGAATTACTATATCTTTACCCAGAGCTGGGACAGGAATTGTAGATGGAAGAGTTGAACCCAAAGTTGAATAATAAAAAGAAAGTGGGCTCAATAGCATTGGGAAAATTCCACAGTGATTTGGAATCTCAAGCTGCTTCCTTGGGCCATTTTTTAAAAAACAAAAACATGTTCCTGGTAAAACAATATGTTTATAACTCTTAGAGACTCACAGTCTCTGAAGAATCGAAGTTACAGATGACCCAAAGAACAAAACAGAGCCACAAGTTGGATAAAAAGAAGTTGTCGAGTACTTCTAACAATGACCTATGTGTAAGGAATTCAGCCTTAGTGGAAAATTAGAGCAGGTAAGGTCTAGCCCCCAGCTACTGCTGGGTCTGTCTGCCCAAACTGAACTCCCTGAGCCCTTTTTCCTTCAGACCTCATCTACTGCCGTTGTATTTGCTGTCCTGGGAGGATTGTTTTGGGTGGTTTGAAGGTGATGTTGGGTTCAGAGTTTCCCATAATACATCTCAGGTAACTTAGATGATTTCCAATGTGTGGTGTGGGAATCAGGGTATGGGTTTTCAAAACCCTGCTCTATTGAGAAATTAAGTGATTAGTAAACAGAGGCAAGTAATTAAGAGTACATATATATTGACTGAAGTAAAAGTAATTTGATTTGTCAAATTATTGAGTGTCTTGCTTTTCATTGAAGGGTACATTTTAAAGTTTTGGCGGCTTTTGTCACATAACTCTTTGGGTACTGAAGAAGTTGATAAAAGGAGCCTAGGAAATCTCAATCGACATAATTGGTAAGGAGGATGGTATAATAAAAATAATTAATTGCATCCTGCTTTAATTGTAAGCAATGCAACTTTCTATGTGACACGGAGCCCCTTGGGATTGTAGATTTGATTTATATGGTCTGGGATCTCACTTTGACCTAGGTGAAAAGCGTGGATGATGATGAATTAGCAAGCCATCCTATGAGGGGAAGTGTTAGTAGGCTCAAGTTGGAGGGCTGAGTAGCACATCCAAGTGTGGCAGTTCTAGGCATATGTAGATCGTTAGGAAGATTGGGATTCTTGACTTTCTGAAAATAAAGGTAAGACCATTCCAACTGGTTTCTTCACGAAAGAAATGGAACAGAACAAGTTGAATATTTAGAGTAAGTTAAGCATCCTGACAGGAGCCACTTTGAAAACGTCTGACCACTGAAGAAAGGTAATATGAAAATGACCAGTGTCTCAGTCCATTTGCATAGGATCCTTCTCATTGGTGGAGATTGATTACTCAGTGTCAGGTGGGTAGTTGGTGAGAGATTGGGAGGAGAGAAGCTGGCTTCCTAGTTCTAGAGAGAAGATGAAAGTTTGCACATTTCCTTTAGGAAGAAATTTCTGACAGGAATGACTGATTCTGGGAAGAAGGTGACATGCAGAGAAGCCAACACCTTGGTCATGTGCTTTTTCCCATAGTCTTTCTTTCCCTTCTGAGACTTCTCCCTGAAGGGTATCTGGAACCATGTGTCTTCTTGGGCTCTCTCCCTCTCTCTCCCTCTCTCTCTCCCTCTCTCTCTCTCTCTCTCTCTCTCTCTCTCTCTCTCTCTCTCTCTCTCTCTCTCTCTCTCTCTCTCTCACTGTGTCTCTTCTGGATGCCAGACCAGGGCCCCTCTTCTCCCAGTCTCTCACCAACTACCCATTTCAATATTCAATCTCAACCAATGAGGAAGGTCCTATGCAAATGGGCTCTGTGCCATACTCTCATTAGTACTCCTCATTTTAAATCAACAGACAAGCACTGGTCCTAGATATCATGAGAGAATTTGGATTTGAAAATTATGCAGGACGTTTGCGGTACCTAGCTGACATCCACAAATGATACTTCTGGACTAACTGACTTACTGAGGTTAGATATACTAAGCTTAATCATAAGCATGACAGGATGGAGTATGAAGTGGATAGCAGATGTAAATGGATTTAAGTGATCAATTAACTAAGCATTTTTTTCTCCTTCCCAATGATTATAAAACAGGAGAATTTATAAGTCTATATTACTGTCCACAGACAGAAAACATCACAGCCATAGCCCTCCAGACACCTCCATGCATTGCTTAGATAACACCTCATCACTGGGCCGAGTAACCTTGGTTCCTTACACTTTTGATTTAAATGTGACCACGATTTTAAAAATAATTTAAATTTATGAACAAAAAATCACCAACATGAACATTTTCATATAAAAAGACAAGAAACCAGGTGCTCTGAGTTACCCATTTACCACAGGTGCTCTCAAAGTTTGAGCCCACTTTCCCCTGGACTCTGGGTGTGCTTTTGGGAGCGTGCTAGACTTTTGGGAGGATGTTTTACACCAACAGATGTTACTGTATCACCTCAGGAAATATTTTCCTTTCTACAGGCTAGTTATAGCTGCCTGACTAAATTTATTCTCAGTTTATAATCTTGTGAAAGAAAACATCGGGAGAGACTCAAGCTGATAGGATTAGAGAATTAACCCCAGGCCCTCAGGGGTGCCCTAAAACTCTGAGAAGGAGATATAGCAACCAAGCTTTGGGGAACTGGTTTATTCGAGGAAGTAGGAATCCAGATAAGGATCCTCAAAGTTTATATGGGCTTTCTATATTGAAAATAACATGTAAGGATTAACATTATCTGGCTTGTCAGTGTCCCTCTCTGAAATTCCTTGTACTCTTTTCTGTGTATTTTTTAAAAGTTTGATTGCACTCTTTTCTTCTTTTTTGTTTTCGTTACTGTCACTACCTCTTTGATCTCTATTCTGCCCCCAATAAAAACCCTCACTTGAAACAAATAATACTCAAGCAGAATAAGCGTTTGTTGTATCGTGGTCATGAATAAAAATGCACGTCTCATTCTCTGCCTTGAGGTGGGAGGCATGCTTTATCATAGTTTATCTGGAGTCATGATTAGTCATTAAATTGATCAGAGTTCTTGAGTCTTTCAAAATTGTTCTTCTTTAGTCATGATCACTATAAAAATAGATCTCCTGCTTCTCATTTCTCTCTGTGTTGTCATAAAAGTCTTACCAAGTTTCTCTAAATCCATTCCCTTTTGTCATTTCATACAATTCAGTGATGTTCCATTATATTAACATACCATATTTTATGGTACCAATTGATAGGTACCCCTTTGTTTATAGCTCTTTGCTACAAAAAGAGCTGCTATAAATATTTTTTGTGCTTTTTCTTCTGTCTTTGATCTCTTTATTTATGTCTTCCTTTATTCTCTAAATAGTTGTTGCCTCAGACAAACTGAGACCCGGGGAAGCACCTTAATTTAGAAAAGCCAAGATCTATCCTTGGCCATGGCCAGTGATCTTCACTTTTGTTCACCACTGGACTCCAAAGACTCTGGAGGAGAGAGTGGGGCTGACGACTTTGCTCAGCTCTGCCTCACTTAAATCCAATTCACTTGACCGTCAAGATATCACTCACCTGATGTCATTGGGCCTCTTCAAGAACGTAGGACTAACATTAACAACAAATGTCTACCTATCATCGTTTTAAATGATTTTTTTTACTTAATAGTATTGTATTTTTTTCCAATTACATGTAAAGATAGTTTTCAACATTCATTTTTGTAAGATTTTGAGTTCTAAATTTTTTTCTATCCCTCCTCATCCCCTTCCCCAAGACACCAAGCAATCTGATATAGGTTATACATGCACAATCACGTTAAACATATTTCCACATTAGTCATGTTGTGAAAGAAGAATCAGAATAAAAGGGAAAAAAAACTATGAGAAGGAAAAAACAACAAAAGAAGTAAAAATAGTGTGCTTCCATCTACATTCAGACTCCATAGTTCTTTCTCTGGATGTGGTTAGCATTTTTACAACACGAGCCTTTTGGCATTGTCTTGGATCATTGTATTGCTGAGAACAATGTTGCAGTTACAGTGTACAATGTTCTCCTGTTTCTGTTCACTTTCTTCATTAGTCCATACAAGTCTTTCCAGATTTTTCTGAAGTGTGTCTGCTCATCATTTCTTATAGCACAATAATATTCCATTCCATTCATATACCACAACTTGTTCACCCATTCTCCAATTGATGGGCATCCCCTTAATTTCCAATTTTTTGCCACCACAGAAAGAGCTGCTATAAATATTTTTGTACATGTGGGTCCTTTTCCTTTTTTATGATCTTTTTGGAATACGGCCCTAGAAGTGCTATTGCTTGGTCAAAGGGTATATACTTTTTTTTTTTAGTGAGGCAGTTGGGGTTAAGTGACTTGCCCAGAGTCACACAGCTAGGAAATATTATGTGTCTGAGGTCAGATTTGAACTCAGGTCCTCCTGACTCCAGGGCCGGTGCTCTATCCACTTGCACCATCTAGCTGCCCCCTGGTATGCATATTTTTATAGCTCTTTGGGCATAGTTCCAAATTGCTCTCCAAAATGGTTGGATGGAGGAAATAGATTTATTAATTACTTTAAAATTATTTAAGCACAGTCTTTAGTAGAACTAAAATTCTCCCTTTCTTCCTTTGTTGTTCTACCCTAGTATTCCTTATGTTAATGCCCTATTTTAAAATGTTGGAGAAAAGTAATGTTTTTGCAATAACCAGACCACCACCAACCTTGCCTGCCCCCATTTGCATTAGCAGACTTCATACTAGAAGATAGATGACTCCATCTCCCCTCAGTGTTTGAGGGGTAACTCAGGAAATGCAGCTTCAGGTCTATAAAGGCCCTAAGCCTTGGAGCTCAGCAAAAAGCCACACCAAGGAGGCACTTCATGAAGATTCCATGAAGGGGGGAAAAGACTTCCACTCACCGGCATCTCTGTTACCCCTTTGTTATACAGGTTTCTTTACATGTACCCCACTCCCATTTTATTTTTATGTTTTTTTATTTTATTTTTTTTTGGTGAGGCAATAGGGGTTAAGTGACTTGCCCAGGGTCACACAGCTACTAAGTGACATGTGTCTGAGACTGGATTTGAACTCATATACTGCTGACTCCAAGGCCAGAGCTCTATCCACTGTGCCACCTAGCTGCCCCTTCCCATTTTATTTTTAGTGTGAACCCACTCTCTCCAGGGTCCTTGTGTTTCTCCCATTTGGGGAGATTGTTTCTGTAACAAATGTGTTTGCTATATCTACTTAGTAAATACCCATTTTAAAAATCAGTTAAGTGTGGCTGATAATAATTGAAAAAGCACACCAGAGGGGGCTCATGAGCAAGAATTCTAGAGACTTCAGGTTATTCCCTAGAAGGCCCAAGGAGTAGATGTCAGCTGCCCCTAGAACAAGGCTGCCAGATTTGAGTGCCATTTGGGAAAGTAGCAGTGGAGAGGGTGTAATACTTGAGGCATACTCCCTCCTCAACTCAGTCTTAGGATCCTTAGCTAATCCAAAAGTTCCACCACCTCCTCTGTGAAGCCCTCCTTGATCCCTCAACATGGCCGGAATCGAGCTCATCTGAAGCTCGAAAGGAGGTTGGCCCCTAAGGTCCCTTCAGCTGCAGTTCTATGATATTGTGACAACTCTGCCCTCCTGCTTCCTTTGTAAAATGAGGGGTTTGGACCATATGGTCTAAGGTTCTTTTCAGCTTTAAATCTATGATTCTGGGCCTCAATTTACTCTTATATAAAATGAGGGAATTGAACTATAAGGCCTCCAGGCCCTCTTCCAGCTCTAACTTAAATGATACTGACACCTCCCTGGACCTCGAGTTTCCTTTATAAAATAAAGGGGTTAAATTACATGCTTTCTACTTTCAAATTTATGCTCCTAGGGTTTCCCTCAAAACAAAACAAAACAAACCAAAAAAAACGCTACAGTGTAGGGATAATTAGGTTGTGCAGTGGATAGAGCTCTGGTCTTGGAGTCAGGAGGACCTGAGTTCAAATCCAGCCTCAGACAGTTGACACTTAATAGGTGTGTGACCCTGGGCAAGTCACTTAACCCAGATTAACAAAACAAACAAACAAACAAAACCCTACAGTATAAGCTTCTTTTTTTTTGTTTTTGTCCTCCCAAAGTGCTTAGCACACTGCCTGGCACATACTAAGTGTTTAATAAGTGTTTGGTTGATGGATGGATGGATGGATAAAGGCCTCCTCGAAGCTCTAAGGTCACAAATGTAAAAGGGGGAAGTGTGACTCTCCAATCTAGTCCAATCCAGTGTTTATTAAGGGTCTCTCGGGTGCCAGGCACCTGGCTAGCTAACAGTGATAGACAAAAAGCACAATGATTCCTGTCCTCAAGAAGCCTTCATTGATGTGAAGTGAACGTAGGCGAGTCAATTATAAGGTCTTTTTAAGGAAGGAAAGAACATTAAAACATCAGGTTGTTCATTCATTAAACAAACATTAAATGTTTCCTGTGTAAATTACACTTTACTAGGCACTGGGATTTCAAAGAAAAATCGAAACAGTCTCTGCTCCAAAGAGCAACATATTCACAGCTAAGTCCTAAAAAAAAGTTCCCAGAAAGTAATTTTTGATGATGGGGTCTGGCAGTGACAACTGGATTTAAAAAGGCCTGATGTGGGAAGTAGAGTCTTTGAAGGGAGGGGTTCCAGGAGGCCCAGGAGAGGAGAGAGAACACTGCAGGTGTAGGGTGACCCCCCCTCCCGGTGAAAGGCCTGGAGGTGGGAGATGGTGCATCATCGTGTACAGGGAACAAGTGAGGCAGTTTGGCTCATTGGGTCACTGAGTGAGGTAGAGCAATGTTTAACCACTGGTAAAGTAGGCTGGTGCCAGACTCTGAAATGCTTTCACTGACAAACAGATGAGTTTATATTTGATCAGAGAGGTAACAGGAAGCCACCTTGGGTTACTGATCACAGAGTCAAAACAGTTAGACCTCTGATTTAGGAATGTAATTTTAGCATCAATGGGGGAATCAATTAGGAGGCTGCTGCCATAGTGTAGGGGAATGAGGGCCAGAACTAAGTGGGGGCCCTGTGAGTAGAGAGGAAGGATTGATAAAGAGCCGCTATCTACAAGACTTTGTAACTGATTGTGTAGGGGAGGTGGCAGGAGGGGAGGGGAAGGGAGAGTGAAGAGTTGAGGCTGTCTCTGGGGTGGGTGCTGCAAAGAAGTGGGAGGAAAACAATGCATTCAGTTTTGGCCATTTTGAGGGAATCATGGAAGGCTTCACAGAAGTGGTACCTTTAGGGAAGCTGAGGATTCTTAGGCTGAGATGAGAAGGGGGAGGGGGAAGGGTGGCGTACTCCTGGTGTGTAACATTTCTTCCAGGGCTGCTTTTCTGATTTGGGGGTCTCACTCTCCTTTCCCGAGTTTCGGGCCTGCCTTTGCCTCATATAAGTTAATAATAATTAGCATTCATATAGAGCTTTACAAATATATTTTTTAAAATCCTCCCAACAACCTCGTGAGGTGAGTGCTGTTATTACCCCCATTTTACAGATGAGGAAACTGAGGCCCTTTACAAATATTATCTCAGTTGATTCTTACAAGAACCCTGTGGGAGGTAGGTGCTATTATTACCCACCTTACTGATGAGGAAACGGAGGCACTTTACATGTTATCTCATTTGATCCTCAAAGAAACCCTGGGAGACAGATGCTGTTATCACCCCATTTTGCAGTTGAGGAAATTACGGCAGGTGACTTACCTAGGGTCACACTGCTAAAAAGCATCTGAAGGTGATTCTGAACTCAGGTCTTCCCGGCTCCAGACACAGAGCTCTACCCAGGGCTGCTGTGTGTATGCATGTATGCTCGGGGCTTAGCTAGCACCTGGCACATAGCAGGCGCTTAATAAACGTTTATTAAATTGAATCTAGCATGTATTAAGGGCCTAGTAAGTGCCAGACTTTGCGTTACTATTCGGGCAGCTGCCCCGCCCACAACGATACCCCAGCCACAACCTTCCCTCTGCCCCCCCACCGGGAGAAGGAAGAAGGGCGGGTCCGATGCCCACATCTGGGCGTGCTCGCTTTTGGAGCTTTGGCGGCCGGGTTGTCAAGGCAACGCACCTCGGATGACTCCGCCCCCTCCTCTCCCCTTTCTGTTCCCATTGGGCACGCCTCCGTCGGGCTGCCCGTCAGGATTGGCTGAGAGGCGCTGTCCTGTCACCCTCGCCTCCCCGCCCCCCGCGTGGCGGGATCTGGGCTGATATGAGGCCAGGCGCCCGGCAGCCAATGGGAGTTCGGGATGAGAGATGGCGATGATAGGCGCGGATCCCTCCGCCGCTTGGGCGTTCTCTGAAGCCGCGGGGCACTTGACTGCGGTAGGGCGATTGGTGCTGAGACGTGGGATGCGTTCGGCTGCGTTTGTGCCTCCCTTCCCCCGTCCCGGATACACGCGTGAAATGTGTGCAAGACCTTGCGAAGCAGAGATTGAAAAGCCCTCCTGGGGAAAGGTCGCGGGAGAGCCCCCTCGTCCCTAACTTTCCGCCATTTGCCCTGTGCACGTGCAGGTTTTGCATCTTTAATTTTCAAAGCAAAAGCTCCCGTTGTAGCATGTAAACATCCATTAAATGCTTGCTGTATGCCGAGCACCTTTCT